CCTGGGACCCCCACCCCAACGCACCTGGGACCCTCCACCCGGACACGCTCAGGACCCCGTGCCTGGGACCCCCACCCCAACGCACCTGGGACCCTCCACCCGGACACGCTCAGGACCCCGTGCCTGGGACCCCCACCCCAACGCACCTGGGACCCTCCACCCGGACACGCTCAGGACCCCGTGCCTGGGACCCCCACCCCAACGCACCTGGGACCCTCCACCCGGACACGCTCAGGACCCCGTGCCTGGGACCCCCACCCCAACGCACCTGGGACCCTCCACCCGGACACGCTCAGGACCCCGTGCCTGGGACCCCCACCCCAACGCACCTGGGACCCTCCACCCGGACACGCTCAGGACCCCGTGCCTGGGACCCCCACCCCATCTGACCCACGAGACCCCACTCTTCTCCCAGAACCAGGGTCTGGAGTCCTGACTTCCAGTCCCCCCCGCCCCATTGTGACTCACCAGCCCCTCCCGCTCCCCACATCAATGCACAGACAGAACCCAGGCGTCCTGGCTCCCAGCCCCTTTGCTAACCACCAGGCCCCCTCTCTCCGGAGCAGGGACGGAACAATATTCCCTCGAATGTTTTCTATCCCGGTGCAGAATAAATGCTCTTCTGTGCACCGTGGAAGGGTGGATGTGCACCACTGGCTGTGGGTGCTCTGCTAATCAGCTGGCCAGCACCTGACCCTCTCCCAGAAGGCTGCATAAGCACCCGGCGTACAGGTAATACGGCTCCTGGCCCATCTCCTCCTAACACACCAGGGCCCCTCCCCTCCCCTCGGTGTCATAGAACCCAGAGTCCTGGCTCCCGGCCCCGTGCCCGGCCTCCTGGGCCACCCTACCTCTCCCGCACTGGGCTCTGCCCCCGCGTTCCTCTCCACCGGGGCCCCCGGCCGCAGGAACCCATGGGGGACAGAGGAAGGGGGTGCAGGGGGGAGCAGGGCTGCATCAGCTGAGCCCCTGCAATCCTGCGCCAGGCTCAGCGCTCGGGCCGGCCCAATATCCTGGCCCCAGCAGGCGAGGGAGGGGCCAGGCCAGGCCCGGGGTGGGGCGGGGCGGGGGAGGGGAGGGGGGGGGCCGGCGCGCCAGGCTGCGCTCGGGCCGGCCCAATATCCTGGCCCCAGCAGGCGAGGGAGGGGCCAGGCCAGGCCCGGGGTGGGGCGCG